TGTTGCTAATGTGCAACATAACAACAGAAGAAGAAGAAAAGAAAAAGAGTCTTAAAGGGTTAGTTCACCCAAAAATGAAAATTCTGTCATTAATTACAAACCCTCGTGTTGTTCGAAACCCGTAAGACCTTCGTTCATCTTCGGAACACAATTTAAGATATTTTTGATGAAATATGAGGGCGCTCTGACCCTCGCATAGACAGCAAGGTAACTACCACGTTCAAGGGCCAGAAAAGTACGTATTTACGTAAAGTACATAAATACTTTTTTTGCGCAAAGAAAACAAAAATAGTGACTTTATTCCACATTTTCGTCTCTACTGCGTCACTTGTGGACGCGCGATCACGACAGTATCATGACGCGAGCGTGTGGCGGCGCTGACCCAGATCCGGCGTAATGACGTCATCACGCCGGATCATCATTTTTGGGTGAACTAACCCTTTAAGGAAAGAACGTAATATGAGCTTGGAGTAAATAGTGGCAGATTTATTTATTTAATTATTTTGGGGTGAGCTATTCCTTTTAATGCCATATATGTTAATCTGTTATGGATAGATAAGAAAAAAAGAATAGAAATAAAAATAAAACAATATTCATCGGTACAACCAGCTATATCACACACCTCAAGCTACTTCACAGTCTCTAAAATCACCGTTCTTCTACACTGCTGGCTTGATATTCACATGCATTCCACTGGATTTCACAGATGTATGATGTGCGAGGGTAAACATATTCTCTTTTCACCCGTTTCCACAGAGCCGTACGTTAAAACACCGCCTGCATAGCAACTAGTTATTCGTCTCAAAAAACATGAAGTCCTGAAAAAATGAAGAAGAAAAGAAAAAAAAATGTAATTCATAAGCCACACCATCAAAGCATATTCTCTGTTCGCTCATACTCACAATGAGAAAGCAGGCTCCGATCATCACTGCCTTCATTCTCACATCAAGATCCATGGGGAACTGGATCCCAAAGTTGTCTGAATCTGTGAATACCTCCCGGAGAAGTCCTGTCCATTGTTTGCTGATCTTTCCAATACTGACTTCATCCATGGTCAGAATCTTCAAGGGGACATGATAAATAATAAATAACATTTCAAAATATTTAAATTGTGGGATACAAATATGTCGATGCAAATCCATGCTTATTTACTTGAAATATTGCATCTGCTGAACAACAGTTCCCCCTAGTGGGCATTTATAGAAAGAGCAGAATAGCCAGTAGACATAAACAGAAAGACAGAAAAAGTTAAAATCTGAAGTTCTCCAGTCAAATGCTATTGTTTTAACAGAGCTGAATTATTAATCACATATTTAAATACTGACACATTCTCCATAAAGATGCTTCAGTAGTACAACACAAAGAATAACAGTTGTCTATGGATAAATCGTATAACCAACTGTTATTATTATTATTAATCTATGTAATATTTATATTATTTTCCTGACAATTAAGCACATTCCCCCATACAAATTATGACTGTATTGCAAAAATAAAATGAAATAAAAAGGTAATTACAACTTTTTATCTCACAATTCAGACTTCTTTCTTGCAATTCTGAATTTATATCTCTTTTTTTTTTATTGCAAGAAAAAAATCAGAATTGTGAGATAAAAAGTCCCAAATACCTTTTTTATTTTTAATTCTGAGGCAGAAAAAAAACTGAATTGTGAGATGTTTTTTTTTTCTTTTTTAAATTGTGAAATAAATAAAAAACCTGAATTATGGGATAAAAAGCCCCAATTACCTTTTTTTATTTTTAATCAAAGGGGAAAAAAATGTAAATAGAATTGTGAGATGCAAATTCAGAATTCAGAGAAAAAAAATCTGAATTGCGATACATAAACTAAATTCTAAGAAAAAAAAAAAGGCAAAATTGCGCAATATTAACTCAGAATTGCGATAAAAAGGTGAGTGAAGTTTTTATTATTATTATTATTATTATTATTATTGTGAGTTTATATCTTGCAATACTGAGTTTAGGAGTTTATGGGAGAAAAAAAAAAACAGAATTGTGAGAAAAAAAGTTTGAATTGTGAGATAAAAGACTTCCATAAAAACCTGCTTAAATTGAGGACACAACATATAATGATGCATAAATGCATTGCAAAATATTACTATTTTTTTTCACTTTACAGTAAAAAGAATTTGAGAGCACCATGTGCCTAATTGAAAATAATGCTAAAAATAGGCTATAAAAATAGGCTTTTTGTTCTTAATGTGAAGTATGATTAGTTTTGTTTTTGGTAAAACATCAGTCTCAGTTTACCAGCCTAAACAAAGCTTTCAAGTGAATTAAGGGCTATGTGATACAGCAGCTAAGTCATTCATTTTCAGTGAGAGTTAGCAATTGTTGTTGTCTGTGACTGTTTGATCACAAAGCGCTTGAGTTGTTATACCTCAAAGTCCACGTCTGGCAGGCAGCTCCAACCACAGAACGGCCCCTGGAGCTTGAGAACCGGCTCTCGGTGCTCATTCTCTATGGTGAACTTGGGGAGGAAAGGGTGCCACTGCTGTAGAACATACCCCACGGTGTTTCCAGGAGGAGCCTGGATCTCCAACTGAAACAGGAGAAATAAAGAGAGAGGAGAGGGTGAAAAGAAGGAATGAACAAAATTGCTCCATTAATCATAAACGTTCTAATATTTTCTCTCTGGTCTATATCAAAGTGAGTGGCATCTGCAAGCAAATGATGCAATTCTCAGATCTAAATTCGCATTTCAGAGCCATTTTTGCCTTCCAGGCAGATCACCTCTTGCAGACAACATGGGAAGAAGCAGGACATGCATTTCAGAGGACGGCTGACTGTGATGATTTCCTGTCCGAAGTTATCGAGGATGCGGATGGTGAAGGATCGCAGCGGGCCGCAGCACTGACGGGTGAGACAGTCGTTCTCCTCCACCGCGTAAAACACGTTCTGACCCATGGAGTTACGGATCTCATATTTATTATTGCTCTCAAAGCCTGCCAAAGCTGCATGAAACCATACAGAGGAATTTTCAATCACTTACTGCATATTTAGCATTAGCAAAAATAGGTCTAATGAGAAATTGTAAGAAACTGTTGTACATACCTTCAATAAGCTCAACTTTCTGTTTGATAAGAAGTTGATCCACCTAAAGATAGTTGAGAAAAAAAAAAAAAAAAACAGATGTTTTTGTAAAACAACCATATAAACAGATATGTATATATACGTGTGTGTGTGTGTTATTATAGGAAATCAATAGAAACGTGCTAATTAATTTGTTTTAGAACAAAACGTTCAATTATTCAAAGATGCCATCTTACCCACTAATGTAAGATATTAAATCAAATATTCTATTTAACATTTTATTTTGACAATTCAGTTGAATAACTGAATAACCAATGACAGACAAAGCAGAATCCCAGTAAAAAGACATTCATCTGAAAGGTACATTTATTATATGACTTATATACAGACATATAAATATTCACATATTTAATTGCCCGTATTTTTATTTAAAATGTCATAATAGCATCACTATGAATGCAAACTGAATGATTTCAATTAATTAGCCTAAAGGTTTTAATGAAAAGTGAATATGACTGAAATGGATATCTAATTCATGGAAATGCTGAATAAGAACCCTATTAATTATAATAAGTATTACATTTAATCTTACCCCAAGGGTCTAATTTCATCATTTTACTTCAAAATATTAAAAGTATATTTTTTTCTCCACAAATCTAAAAACGTTGTATCCACAAATTTCTCACTAACAGACACAAAAACCGTTATTCAACATCATATAAAGTAGTGCTGGGCGGTATACCGGTTCATACCGAATACCGGTGTTTATTTTTGTTATGATATTAATTTTTTAAATACCGCAATACCGGTGTATGTCGCTTAAACAACGTTCGGAACGCGACACTGTTTGAAAGGGGTCACTTTTCACTGTTGCACTGTGGTGAGGGCACAGCTGTATGTGTTACTAAGCGTGAAAGTTCCGAAACTGAAGCTGTAGAACTAATAGAACGTGATGACAGAAAACTCATCCACAATATCCACTTTGACCGCCACAAATATCCACTGCCCCCTGCCATCAGCTCCCGCG